ATCCTCAATCCTCAACACCACTAAAAAAAAAAAAAAAAAGCAAAAATACCTCTAAGGCTGGCTCAGTGATGCACTCCTGTAATCCTAGAGACTCAGGAGGCTGAGGCAGGAGGATGGCAAGTTTGAGGCCAGCCTAGCAATTTAGCAAAACCCTGTCTCAAAAAACAAAACAAAACAAAACAAAAACAAGGAGAAGGTGGGGCTATAGTTAAGTTGTAGAGTACCTTAGAGTACCTTAGTTTTGATCCCCAGAACAGGAAAAATTAAAAATAAGACCTCTAGATATTGCCAAGTATCTTCTAAGGAAAGGGACAAAAATCACCTTTGGTTGAGAACCTATGGACTAGAGCAAGAAGGTGAAAGAAGTATTCAAGAAGGAATTTAGCAAGCTATACATAGTGATACAGGCCTGTAATCCCACTAACCTAGAAGGTTGAGACAAGAGGATTGCAAGTTCTAGGCCAGCTTCAGCAACTTAGTGAGATCCTCTCTCAAAATAAAAAACAAAACAAAAAGGGCTGGGAAGCTGGGCATGGAGGCATGTAATCCCAGAAGCTTAGGAGACTGAGGCAGGAGGATCTCAAGTTCAAAGCTAGCCTCAGCAAAAGTGAGGCACTAAGCAATTCAGTGAGACCCTGTCTCTAAATAAAATACAAAGTAGGTCTGGGGATGTGGGTCAGTGGTCAAGTGCTCCTGTGTTCAATCCCTGGTACAAAAAAAAAAAAAAAAAGATTAAAAGTATAGTAAATAAATAAACCAGTAACATAATTTTTTATTATCAAGTATTTGGTTCTGTACATAATTATATGTGCTGTACTTTCATATGACTGGCAGCAGAGAAGGTTTATTTACCAGCATCACAACAAACTAGTGAATAATGCATTGGACATGATATTACAACTGCTACAATGTCACCAGGCACAGGAATTTTTCACTTCCGTTATAAACTGAGAGGACCACTGTCATATATGGGCTTTGTTACTGAAATAAAATGTAGTTATGTAGCACATTACTTTATATTTTACATGTTGTACACCATTACTATTAGATAATCTCAGAACATTTCCATCACCCCCAAAAAACCCCTGTGCATACTGGCTGTTAGTCTCACTCCTGTCCCCACACTTATCCACTGAAAATTCTTATCTATTTTCTTTATCTATGGATTTGAAATTTCACATAATAGGATGCAGCTTTTTGCATCTGGCTTCTTTCACTTAGCAAGTTTTCAAAGTTTATTCATATTGTATACCATGCAACAATATCTCTTCCTCTTCCTCCTCCTCCTCCTTTTTTTGCTGGGATTGAACCCATGAATGCTCTACAAATGAACTACATCCCCAGCTCTTTTTAAAAAAAAAAAAACAAAAAAACACAGGGTCTCACTAAGTTTCCCAGGCTAGCCTTGAACCCCTGCCTCAGCCTCCTGAGTAACCAAAATTATAGGCATGTATCACAGCGCCCAGTAATTTCATTTTTTTCTATGACTAAATAATATACCATGGGCTGGGGGTATGGCTCATTGGTAGAGCACTTGCCTAGCATGTGTGAGGCCCTGGGTTCGATCCTCAGCACCACATAAAAATAAATAAATAAAATAAAGATATTGTGTCCAACTACTTCTAAAAAGTAAATATTTTAAAATAAATAATATTTTTAGTTCATTCATCAGCTGATGGACATTTGAGTTGTTTCCACTTTCTGGCTATTATAAACAATGCTGCTACAAACATTCATGTAAAAGTTTTTGTGTCGACATATGTTCTCAATTTTCTTCACTATAAACCTAGGAGCAGAATTGCTAGGTCAGATGATAATTTTGGTTTTGATTTTTTAAGGAACTGCCAAACTGTACCAGTTTACATTCCCACCAACAGTAAACCAGAGTTCCAATTTCTCCACATCCCTATCAACATTTGTTATTTTCTGCTTTAAAAAAAAATTATTATTATAGCCATCCTGGCACATTTGAAGTACAATTTCATTGTGCTATTGATTCTCATGTCATTATGTTGAGCATCTTTCTATATATTTATTGATAATCCCCTTTATTCTCACTCAGTAATTCCAAAACTCCCCAGTGGTTGCATGAAACCAGAAACAGCACTTCATGAAACAAATATATTTTTTTCCTATACATACATATCTATGATAATGTTTTTAAATTAAGCACAGTAAGAGATTAACAATAACAGGAAAATTATATCAATATATTGTGATACAATTTTTTTATTTTTAAAATGATGTAAGACAAAGGGATGGGGCTGTAGCTCAGCAGCAGAGCGCTTTCGTAGCATGTGTGAGGCACTGGGTTCGATCCTCAGCACCACATTAAAAAAAGTAAACAAATAAAATAAAGCATTCTGTCCATCTACAGAATAACTTTTTAAAATAATTTTATATTTTAAATTTATAACTTATAATTTATAATTTATAACTTATAATTTATATTTATAATAAATATTATTATATTTATAATTTATAACTTTTAAAAATAATTCTGAAATTATTTCAAAATAAAAAATAGAACTTTGTTCAAATAATTATTGTACTTCAAAGTGCTATATCTTAAATGTTAGACATTTATTGTAAAGCAGTGACAATTTTTTACCATTTTTCTCTGAATCAGTACCAGTTTAGTATGACACAATAAAAACAATTTCTTGATGCTTTAAAAAAAACTTATAAAAACTTTCAAACATGCAAAAATAAAATAATGAACCCCTTGTACTCACTACCCAATTTTAACAATTATCCTCCCCATATTTGTGGTGTTTTTTTATTTTCTGGTCTTTTTCCCCCCTCTGAAAGCAAATCTCAGATAAGCAATTTCATGATTAAAAGTTTTTCTTTAAATGAATTAATCATTTTAATACCTAATAAAATTAACAATTCCTAAATATCATTGAATTCCCAGTTCTTTAAATTTTGGTCATTGTCTCAAAGTTGGTTTCTTTGAATCAAGATCATGTGGTACACATTCAATTATGTATCTTACAACAGTCCATAAGAGTCCACAGTACTCCCCCTCTGGTTTTATTCTGTTGGACAAATTAGGTTATCTGTCTTGTGGAAGCTGATTACTTCTTTTTGGGGTCTGGGGTTTTTTAAAAATTTTGTTTCATGGTGCTTAGGATTGAACACAGGGCCTCATGCATTGCTAGGCAAACACTGTACCACTGAGGTACAACCCTAGCCCTGGTGTTTGTTTCTTTTAACTTATTTTTCAAGTCCCTATATTTCCTGTAAACTGTTGGCGAGATCTAAGACTTTCTTAGCTTTGATATCAAGAATACTTAATAGGAACACTTGTAATCCCAGTTACTCTGTAGACTGAGTCAGGAAAATCTCAAGGTGGAGGCAAGCTTGGGCAACTTGAGAAGAAACTGTCTCAAGAAAAACAGTGGGGGTGGGTGGATACTGGGGATGTAGCTCAGTGTTAGAGCCTCCCTGAGTTCCACCTGCCATAAAAACAAACCAACAAACCCTTCATAGGAGGCCCTGTAGTAGATGTAGTAGAAAATACATCATATCATGAGATATTTCATAACTGGTCGTCTTATCTCTCCCCTCCCCCCAACCCCACACTACAGGAGATTGAACCCAAGAGGTTCTACCTCTGACCTCTAAGAGCTGCATTCCCAGCCTTTTTAATTTTATTTTGAGCCAGGTTAACTTTGAACTTGCCATCCTCCTGCCTCAGCCTCCTGACTGGCTGGGACTACAGTCGCACCATCACATCTAAATGATGATCTCACTTTTAATGGTGCTAAGATTGATCAGAGATTTAAAAGGATCAGCTTAATTCCCTTATAATAAAGTTCACCATCTTTCTTTTTAAGTAGATGTTATATATATATATATATATATATATATATATATATATCAACAACAGACACAGTCAAATGTTGACATCCTGTCCAGGGATAGAAATCTTCACAATAATGTTCCATTATCCTAACATAGAACTATAGTTGAAGGTCCAGGTCAGCCCTGTTACTGCAAAGCATTATGGGGGAAAAAAGGGGGTTTTAAAAAGAGGAAACTAATGTTTTTAAATTGCATTACACAAGTAAAGCTCAAAATCATTTCATAAATTATGACTGGGAGCTAAGCGCATAGTTTGGGAGGTCTTGATTATGAAGCTTTAAAGAAATATCTAGGGGGCTAGGTTTGTAGCTCAGTGGTAGAGCACTTGACTAGCACATGTGAGGCACTGGGTTCGATACTCAGTACCACATAAAAATAAATAAATAAAATAAAGGTATCGTGTCCCTCTACAACTAAAAATATTTTTAAAAAGAAAGAAAGAAATATGTAAGTTGCAAGAGACTATTTGAGAGCTGGGGGTGTAGTTGAGTGTCAGAGTGCTTGCCTAGCAATTGCAAGGCTCTGGGTTTTATCCCAGCCCCGCAAAAATAAATAAGTAAATAAATAAGTAAGGTAAATCAGGAACTAAGCATTATAACAAATAAAATTGATTAGGAGGGACTGGAGGAAGGAAGAATGAGACAAGAAACTGTGACTGATAACCCCATTAGTGCATATATTACTTCGACAGCATTACAAAGGGCAAATGATGAAGAAAAGTAATAGCTGAAAACATCCAAAAATAAAACCTATTAATTAGATACATTATCTACATATATATAAAATTAACAATTCCTAAATATCATTGAATTCCAAGTTTTTTAAATTTTGGTCATTGTCTCAAAGTTGGTTTATTTGAATCAAGATCATATGGTACATATTTAATATACATAACATTTTTTTCTATTCTCTTATATCAGTATCCACGTGGACAACATTCAAAGGAGCTGAGGTCAATAAAAGCTGATGACTGAAAATCTTCAAAGGGGTGGAGGCGTTAGAGCCAAGGCTGGATTTTGGAGGTCAGCGCTGGGGAGGCGGTTCCAAAGCGCCCAGGCTAGGAACACACGCCACCCCCACGCATTTTGCCGGCGGGGCAAACACAAAGCCTCGCGGGAGGCGGGGCTCGTTACGTCATGGAGAGCCCGCCCCCTTACGTCGCGCACTGGAGAGGCTAGGTTTCTGGGTGCGCGGGCGCCATTTTGCCGGAGCCTGCGACCGAGTAGGAGCGGAGTGGAGCGGCGGTTGTTGCCGACTCTTTCCTCCTCCCTACGGTCCAGTCAGCGGGTTGATCAGGCCATTGGCCCTCAAGCCGAGACTTGTCTCTTATTTAGTTCTGGGGAGCGTTTGGCCGACATGAGTGATGTAGAGGAGAACAACTTCGAGGGCAGAGTGAGTACAAAGCCGCGGGAGCCGTCTTCGGCGGCGGCCCGATGCTCGGGGTTTTACCGGGACTAGCGCGGTCGGGCCGGGTTGCGGGGAGTCCTGCGGGGCCCGCGGGGAGCAATCTCTGGAGCCATCGCGAGTGATTTCTCACATCCCAAGATGGCTTCTGGGTCCACTCCTTCCCCAAACACTACAATTACCTCCCTCCCCTTTTTTGGAGACTGACTGGTACCTGGACTCCTGTCCTATCCCCACCTCCTCATTGCACCCTCCCTTCTCCCCGCCCCGAGGCTTGCTTACTTCTTTCTGAGGTGGGTCCCCGTCGCGGTGGGGTGGGAGGCGGCGGCAGGGAGTTCCCCACCCCGGCCGGATAGTGGTAGGTGCTTCCTGCGGTAGCATATCTGGAGACTCCCGAGCATCGTAGAGGGTCTCGGGGTCGAAAGTGCGCGGGGCTGTTGTCCGGGCGGGGAGTAGCTGGCGTGGGACTAGCTGGGGCCTGTGTCTCCTTGGCTCTCTATTGCAGTGAGCGGCCGCGTCTCTGTTGGAACCGGCGGCGTTGCGTCTATAAAGGCGAAAGCCTTGAGGTTGAAGGTGGGACGAGCCTAATGAAGTGGTTAGTCAACGACCGCACCGACCCTTAAGCGTTCTTAAGACGAGAGCTGTGAGGGGAAAACTACGCAAGGAGCCCTTTTCCCTTAATGTCCCTTTTTAACTTTGCTTTCACTTCAAAATTAATGTGGAAATGCTATAACGACTTATTTTTTTCTAATTCCTTGATGTTGGATTTTTTTTTTCTCTTTATATCTCAGCTTCTAATGCTTTTCTTCCTTTGACCTTTCATCTAAAAATTGACCACTCCTTTGCAGGTTTTTATGGTAAAAAAAAAATTAAGAAGGAATCTTCTCTTTCTTTAATCTTACATAACGAATTTCTGGCTCAGTATTTTAAAAATAACTAGTCAGTTTATACTGTTCTCTTACTCAAAAGGTTACCTGAAAATTACAGGCCCACTTCACATTTCTTTTCTCACCCCTCCCCCAGGAAGAGAGGGCACAGAAGAAGGTTTTAATTATTTGGGGTCGGATGAATATAAACATCACAAAGAATGCATTATCCTTAACTTAGGATAAGTGCTAGAACGTGTATATCAGTGTTTGAGTTTTATTTCAGAAGTTATTGAAGTAGGGGAAGTTGGTGGAAGTGAGTTAGATGAAATCTGAAAACAAAAGCCCAGGCAACACGTTTCTGCTGTTGTGTTGGTATTTATTCTAGTCACTAGGGGAACCATTAAAAAAAAAAAAAAAAACACACACACACACTTGAGGGCTGTGCTGGATAGAATGAATTTGTCCTTTCTGTGGAAGTTTAGTATAGAAACACCTGGAATCAGTCAAATCAAAGCTGATTAAGAGATTTAAAGCCATAGGGTAGAAACAAAGCTACATTTGAGATTAGATTTTTTTAATGATATTTGGAGCATGGATATAATTGAACCTGCTCATTGTTTAGGGTGATAGATTTAGTGTCTCATAAGAAATGCTTAAGATCATGCAATAAAAATATTGGTAGTAGTTGTGTTTCTTGTTTGAAAATGTTCATGTATGGAAAAAATTTTTATTGTCCATCTTCCTTTCAATTAACTTTAACAAAAAAAGTTTTTAATGCTTGTTTTAATTTGGTTTGTGGGATGTGGGCTACTAATGGGACCTTAATTTCTTTAGTTCTTTTCAATATGTCATCTAGTGGAGGAGACTAAGTTCTACTGTCATGTTACCCACCTATAAAAGTAACATGGGCTGATATTAACATTTATTTAATGGAAAGAGTAGGTTTGCTTTCCCCCCTCCCTTCTTGGCTATTTTTGGTTATAAAAAGTATTTTTGCCCTCCTCAGGGCACAGTGACACATGTATGTAAACCCAGCAACTTAGGAAGCTGAGGCAAGAGGAGTTTCTAGTTCAAAGCCAACTTTTAGAAATTTAGCAAGACCCTGTCTCAAAGTAACAAGTGAAAAGAGCTGGGTATGTAGCTCAGTGGTAAAAGTACCCTGGGTTCAATCCCTAGTACCAAAAAAAAAAAAAAAAAAGTTTTTTCCACAAGTGTAGTTTATTGTAAATTAAATTAGTAGATTGAATAATTTCCATGTTCACCTGTTACATCTTTTTACATTTTGTTTTCTGAGCTTTTTAGGTTGAGGTGATTTATATGTAATTGGTTGAAGAATTAGAAGAATGGGCTGGATGGTGATACATGCCCGGTGACTTGGGAGGCTAAGTAAGGCAGGAGGATCCCAAGATCCAGGCCAGCCTTAGCAACTTAGCAAATCCATATCTCGAATACTACTACTACTACACATAATAACAGAATAATGCTAGAAGTTTTTCTGGAGGATTACTCCCCCCTCCACACACAGCAGTTTGGCATTCATAAGTGAATTTGATTTTTTTTTTTTTTTAACTATAGTGACCTTTTTCGGCTGACTATAAACCAACAGTTTAAATTTTATATATAATAAACTGCTGTGCCCTTGTGTTTGCAGCTAAAGATGTCTAAAGGTAACAGCACCCTGGCCTAGAAAATAATTTTTAAGTGAGGAGCCAGGCATGGTGGCACACACCTATAATCCCAGCAGCTCAGGAAGCTGAGGCAGGAGGTTCTCAAGTTCAAAGCCAGCTTCAGCAAAAGCGAGGTGCTAAGCAACTCAGTAAGACCCTGTCTCTAAATAAAATGCAAAATAGGGCCAGGGGTGTGGCTCAATGGTGAACTGCCTCTGAGTTCAATTCTGGTATCAAAAAAAATTTTTAAGTGAGGTGTGTAAGTAGTTGTCATCCTTTAAAAAAATTTTTTTTTAACCACATTAGTAAAAACATTGAAAGGTCAGTATTCACATTTTAGGGTTATCAGAGGTGTTTGTGGAGATCATGAGTCAAATTTGAATTAATGTTTTCCTCTCTGTAGGAGTTTTTAGCACTAATAAAGTGCATTTTCATTTAGTTTACCAACAGTCTATAGGATACATATTAATTCCATCTCAGTAAAAAGATGTTTAGAATTAAATGAAAACTTTCTAGATAGTTAGGTTCTAGCAAACATACTGGGGAAGTAGGACCAAAACTAGTTTAGCTTACCTTTTTTTGTAGCATTTTAGAATTTACCAGCCAAAAAATCTTTAATGCGTTTTCTGTGTTTTACTGCTCATGATAATCTTGCAAGGACTGGAGTAGTGTTAGCATTTTAGAAATATAAAACTCATAGCTGGGGGCATAGCTCAGTGGTAGAGCGCTTGCCTCACACTTGTAAGGTACTCAGCACCACATAAAAAATAAATAAGTAAAATAAATAAAGATATTGTGTCCATCTTTAAAAAAAAGAGAGACCCAAAAGACTGCAGTCAGGAATCTGAGCTAAGTACTAGTCCACTATTCATATAAACACATTATGCTATATGTATTTTGGTTAACATTTGTGAAGAACACAGTATGCTTCAGTGTCTCCGAGCCATTAATGGAGTTTGCCAAAGCAGTTACTACAGCTTAATTTTCCATTTTAAATTAATCTTTCTTCCATTTTAAAGAATACAGTTAAAGAACTTTAGGGAGGAATTCCATTTTAAGTAATCCAAGGTAAAACTTGTTTAGAGCATCTGCTGCCTTTCTAATTAGGGCTAGCTAGGTGTTCTTGAGGGAAAGTAAACTTGAAGTCTAATCTGAGATGACTGACCATTCAAATCTGGGTAAAAGTAAGTGGTGTCTGATAGAATTAATAAGGAATTCAGAAAAGGAGTCAAGAAATGGGAAAGATTTACTTTGACATATAAAACTTCCATTAGGTCTAAAGATTAGAGACATTATTATTGATTATATAGGTATGCTAATGGAGAGATTGTGCTAAGATAGTGAAAAAATAGATTTGAATAATATGCAATCAAAAAGGTCCCTAAAGGAATTTGCTTGTGACATGTAATTTAAGTTAATATTTAAGTGGAAATATCCTTTGGAGTTGGGTATAAGATTGGCAATTAAGCTGTGGTTTAAAGACTCCTAGAGCCCCCCACAGCCACCTTTTCAAAACCCAACTATACTGACATTCTGGTATAGTTAACAACATAGTTGCATGAATTAGTTCCAGAATACCAGCTAGCTATTGGCTCCTGTTCTCCCAGCAGCATAGCACTTGACCACCGTTCAAGACGACCTAGGCAGCTCTCTACAGCTGGAGTGGGAGTGGGAACAATCCCTTATATCTCATCACATTGACTTGTTGCAAAAGGGTAAAGTTTCCTTCCTTGTAATATGGTAGTATTATTAAACAGTTTTATGTCTTGGGTTTATTTTTATAAAGTTGAGTACCATCATTTATCCAGTGATAAGTTCTTTTATGCTTTAATGCTTTTTTATTGTTTTCTCCCCTCGCTCTCATTTAAGCAAAGATTTTGCAAACTTGAAAAAGACCTTACAGAGTTCAAATTTTTACATTTGAAATTCTTTCACCGAAAGGTGCTAACTTGCTCAATATAAGTAAAAGGCAGGATTTTGTAAAGGAGCAGTGCAAGAAATTTAACCCACGGTTCATAACTGTAATTTTTACAGTTATGCCATAGATTGTCTTATTCCTAAATGAGAATAGAGAGCCTTGATATTGAAAGAATATCAAGGGATTTAAATATTTAGGAATGAGTCTTTAAAAAAAAACAGACAAACTTTGTGTACGTAAATGAACCATACTTATTTACCTGTGGTATCCTAAAGTGTGAAATGGCATGAATATCAGCATTGGGTTTTTCTAAAATCTGCCTGACTGAAAACCTTTGATATTGATATTATCAGTGGGTACTCAGAAACCCAATAACTAGCCCTGAGGCCTTTGTAAAACATGTATATTCCCATATTAAGTGAATTAATATTGATTGTTATTTGTTCATATGTTCTAACAGAAGATTTAGCTGGGCAGAAGTGGAAGTAAGACAATGGTAATAGTCAGATGAGGAAGAAAGAAATGCTGTAGAAAAGTTGAGAAAAGAATAATGACAGGAAATGTAGTTCCTCTTCCCTCCTTTTAAGTTACTAATATATATAGTTGTGTATAATCCTTGTTTTGTTGATATTCACCCAAAATATGAGTGACTAGAACTGATGTGAAAAGAAAAGTTAGCTTTTCCTTGAAATCAGGGCCCAGTCATCTCACTTATTCAAGATTCTTAAATACTCCATGATACCAGAAGATGAGAGCATAAGTAGAGAATATTGTAACAGATTCTTAGTAGTTTGGGTTTAGTTGCTATTTATTGGCTTTTTTTTAATATAGCAAAATCACTTTAGTCCATATAAGTTTTTCTCTACCTTTGAAATTGTCACATACATCAGCTTTTAAAAATTAGTTTATTGTGAAAATTTAGGAGATTTTATGAGCTTTATTTAAGACTTGTACAGAATTTTACAAGAAAATTCACAATTGTGGCATGAGTTTTATAAGTGGCAATTACTAAATTATTTATGATAAAATATTCCCCAAATTATTCCAAACTTTTGAGAATGTGTAGACATACAATTTTAGAATATATGTAAGCCTTTGCAGATTGAGGCATCAACCTCAGAATGCAGTAGACAGGTATGATCTTAAAGGGAGGGAAATTATTATTTGAAATTAGATAATATGAGTAATCTGTTTTCTTTTTAAGAGATTGCTCTAATAGCGGTTAGGTTTAAGAAGAAACCAGAAGTATTTTATCAGCCTGACAATCTGTAAAAGAAATACCTTATCGTACCCTAGAACTGTTATTTCTAGGGGCTGAAAAAAATAAAATTGAGAAAAATACAAAAGATTTCTTACAAGAATGAAGTTGTTAGTATAATATTGTAAGGTATTTGGGTAATTAAAGTGTATTCTGTCTTCTGAGGACACATAATTTAAATTCATCAATGTATTTCTATGGAAATCTCCAATTTTATAAAGTAGAGGAAAAATATTGTTAGAAAGTTTGTTTTACACCCATAGGCATGCATTTGTGTAAATTTGGCACTATCACCTGGCTAATATGTGCCTGGCCTTAATATTGGAATGAGTTATAGTATGATTTTTTTTTATTGGTTGTTCAAAACATTACAAAGCTCTTGACATATCATATTTCATGTATTAGATTCAAGTGGGTTATGAACTCCCATTTTTTACCCCAAATACAGATTGCAGAATCACATCGGTTACACATCCACATTTTTACATAATGCCATATTAGTAACTGTTGTATTCTGCTACCTTTCCTATCCTCTACTATTCCCCCTCCCCTCCCATCTTCTCTCTCTACCCCATCTACTGTAGTTAGTATGATACTTTTATTAGTTTATTTTTAATGAGTATTAAGTGCTAAGCATGTAGATTTTGTTGGAATATTTTTTTTCCCCATCTATAATATACTGGCTGAATTAAGGACTATTTTTTTGCAGTAGGAATTATTCTTATCTGGTGATAATTTGTGCATATAACAAACACCAAAACAAAACCTTTTCAAGTGGGTTGTTTATAGTATGTAAGGTAGACTGGGTATCCTATTTAAGATGCTTGTTAAAATTTGTGATATTAAATGAAAAAAATGTTGATTGATTCAGTGATTGTTGGATAAGCCAGATTACTGAGGAATTCATTGAATTCTTTGATGAGACGGCTGTAAGAACAGGTTAGTCTAACGAAAGGGGGAAGATATTACCCCTTCCCATCATTTATTTATTTGTTTGTTTTGTATTTGCAACTCTTAAATTTAGCTTCCAATTTCTAAATCATTTTATAATTTTTTTTTTTAAGTTGAAATTAGCAGGGCATAATGGCGCACACCTGAAGCCCCAGCAATTTGGGAGGCTAAGATGGAAGAGTCTTTTTAAGCCCACAAGTTTAAGACCAGCCTGGCCAACATAGTGAGACACCACCTTCTCAAAAAAATGAATAAATATTGAAATTATTTCATTATGAAGACAGGTCAAAGATAGAAAAGGATTATCTAGTTTTTGTCTTCTATGAAGGACTTAACTAAAGCTTGATTACTAATTCAGAGTTTAGTGAAAATAGCATTTTTTTGGTAATAGCATTTGGAAAATGTTGTATTTAAATGATAAATACTAATATGACCATCTTTCAATAATGAGTATATTTTGGTATACTAAAAGTGTCTAAAGAATTGTTATTTTGAACCTAGCAGTTTTCTGTAGATTAAGATTACTAATAGTTGAAGGATATAGGAGTTGGAGCTAAGAGCGTGACTATTTCTTAACCTTGGATGAATCCATGAAGAAGCTCATACAAAGTTAGATTTTGTGGAGCTGAAAGGGTAGACAGCAAAGGAGGTGAGGTATTGGTGACACCCTAAATGATAAACAGCAAAGCTTCTTTTAACATTTATTGATGTTGGGCTGGGATTGTAGCTCACTGGTAGAGCACTTGCCTAGCATGTGTGAGGCCCTGGGTTTGAATAAATTAAATAAAAGTCCATCAACAACTAAAATAATAAAATTTTGTTTATCTTTTTAAAAGACATCCTGTCAGGCCAGGCATGGTGACACACACCAATAATCCCAGTTTACTGGGGAGATTGAGGCAGATCACAAATTCAAGACCACCCTGGGAGACTTAGCAAGATCCTTTCTCAAATTTTAAGAAAGGACTGGTGGTGTAGTTCTTACATTGTGTGAGCACTTAAGATAACACTGAGTTACCTTGTTCACACTAATTTCTGAGAAATAATTTTCAGCAACTGTTAATTATGTTTATGAGAGGAGACTTCAAAGTCATAATTGCACATATTTGGACCATTATGTTTTTGTCATGTTCTAAAAAAACTTCAAATAAACCTTTGGTTTTAATGTAAGAATTTTTATTTCTGTCATGGCAAAGTTAAAAGTTTAAGTGCCTTTCAGTTTAAAGCCTTCTAATTATACATGTATGTATTATAAAAGCTGTGGTGATGTTTGTAGATACAATTCCCAGCCACTGCTGTTCAATGGAGCATAAATGAATATTATGTCAGAGGGTCTGTTTTATAGAAGGAAAAGCTGAAGATATTCTTATCAGTTTAGTTACTGAACCCGCCTGTGAAACTGTAATTACAAGCAAGTTAGCCATGCCTTTTTCTATCTTTCTTTCTTTGTTTCTTTTTAAAGCACTGAATATGCTGCTCCAAGCATCTGTCCCGGAATTTAGAGAGTATCTAAAATGTGGTGAGAGACTTACTGTAGGTAGTTAAATGGGAAAGGTTGGTATTGAACAAAAAGTAGTTAAAATTAGTTTTGTTTTCATATGGAAAAAAATAGGCCTACCAGCATTATTATAATTCTGGATAAATGTCCTTAGAGGTAAAAGTTTTAAGAAAGCTTTTTTTAAAAAAGTTGTGTCGTAGTCAATATGGTATAAATGAAAATTGGTGTGAAATTGGAATAATTTTTTATACATTAATAATCAGGCATAAATGGGCAGAGGAGCCAAATTGTCCATTATGTTTTAGTCATAAAGTGCCTAATGTTTGTCAAATAAGCTTTTAATCGGTTATAAATAAATGTATTTGGAAAGTTTTGATTTACACCCAACTTTTTCAGAAACCAGTTTTGCAATATAGGAAATATAGTCACCAAAGGAATTATAAGTATACATAAATACATAAAATACATAAAAGCTGAATTTAAAAAAGGTAAAATCAAGCCAGGCTCAGTGGCACAAGCCTGGCTTGGGAGGCTGATTCAGGAGGATCTCAAGTTCAAAGCCAGTCTCAGCAAAAAGCAAGGTGCTAAGCAATTCACTGAGACTTGTCTCTAAATAAAATACAAAACGAGACTGGGGATATGACTCGATGGTTGAGTGCCCCAAGTTCAATCCCCAGTTACCCCATCCCTACTCCCCCTCCCCAAGGAAAGGTAGGATCAAAAATGATACAATTTTTGTAACTTATGGTGAATTTTTATATTTCCTGGAGAATATAGCTCTTTAAAGTGGCACAGCTGTAAAATGCAAAATATATATTTTAGGAGTTTCAAACCAAAGAGGATAATTAAAATTTTTGTGCTTCCTCTTTTCCCTTAGTTTTTGCCATATATTATCTGTCTTCATAACCAGTCTTTCTGGTTAAATCAAAATAAGCAAAGATAGTAAAACAGAATTGGAAGGTGTTAGTAATTTTGCTGACTTTTTGATTCCTTTGATCCTTTGGCATGTATGCTATAATGTATGAGTTTAGATAGTTGTGTACAGGTATTTCAGCCTGGGATGCTTTACTTTAACAATATCTCGATTTCTTAGCATGACTTAGTAAAAGCGTATTCTAAGATCAGTAAGAATCTTCAGGTTTAAAATAGTGGAAACTTAACACGTAGGTGGGGGGAAATTACACTTTATGTTAGATTTGTTTGAATTAAGTATTTATATTAAAATTGTTCACATTTTAGGTATTAGAATGAAACATGAAAGGGGAGGAGGGTAAAGAGATGGTTTAAAAACACATTTAGAGAAATTCAGTAGATTCTCTTTGTTAGAAACTACACTTTTGAACAATTTTAAAGACTATAAAATTGCCTTTTTTTTTTTAATAAACTAGTTATTTGCACTTTACCTGCTGGCTTTTCCATTTGGTAGATAACATTCTGAACTCCAGCAGAGTTTTATAATCCCCACGTGCTTAAATATACTAAATGTTCTTTTTCCATTAAGGTTAATGTTCGTGAAGAAATTGAAGAGTTTTTTCCAAGAATGTGGAAGATAAATCAAGATAAAAGAAGGCTAATGAAAAGTATTAAAGATCAGAAAATTAAAATTGAATGGGGGAAAAAATTGAACAGAAGATTGGTCAGATAGAAGCACTTGAATATTTTTTTAAGGCTATTTTGAATTGTTTGAATTGGGGAAGAATACACGAAGTATGAAAAATGAAAAACTCAATGAAGAATGAAGAGAAGTAGAAAGCAAGAGTGAAGTAGAATTAAAAGAATCTGGAAGAATGAATGGGTCCTAGGTTAAGTAAATGTATGGTTTATGTTCCAGTGTCTGTATGATCAAGTTGTAGATGAATTTGCATGATTACTTAGTTAATAGAGAATTGGTGATCTGGTTCAAGTAGGGAATTATTGAGGACAGTTAGCAGTATTAACAATGGGTTATTAATGAGCTGAAATTTTTTTCTGGAGGGTGTTGCCTAACCATTTGTTTTTCAGGAGCAATCAATATAAAAAAAATTACGCTACATTAAATGTTAGGTGTTAGGCATCTACGGGACCAGTGCCATTTGTAATACTGTCTTCTTTGTTAGGAGTCTCGCTCTCAGTCAAAATCTCCAACGGGAACTCCTGCTCGTGTAAAATCGGAGAGCAGGTCAGGATCTCGTAGTCCATCAAGGGTTTCCAAACACTCTGAATCCCATTCTCGGTCAAGATCAAAATCCAGGTAAGTGTGTTTAAAATAAAGCCTCAGATGTTTTATGTGTTTTTGGTTTGGTTTGGTTTTATGGCAAAGGGATTTTATGAAATTCTTCCTTATGGCTGCATTTTGAACAGAAATTTCACCAAAGGCTCATAAAATAGTTTTTCTCAGACTCTAGAATTTAGAAATTAATATTTTCTAGATAAATTAAGAGTCTCTGCACAGTTAATCTATTGGATAATAGCTATTAAAACAAATACATTGATTGACTTAAATGAACTTGAGAATCAGTGTATGGTTGTATGCCAACAAAATTTGGTGCAGCAAAAATGACAATTTTGAAGTGTGAAGTGGTACACACCTATAATCCAAGTTACTCCTTAGGTTGAGGCAGAAGGATCACAAGTTAGAAGCCAGCCTTAACAATTTAGTGAGGCCCTGTCTCAAATGAATAAAAACAACTCAGTGGAAAGCATTTCTGGGTTCAATCCCCAGTAGCAAAAAAGAGTTTTATTCCACATACATATTTTATCTAAAGATTATGTACGACTCCTATGTCCAGGTTGAAACACTGGTCTATTATAATTGGAGGGGGGACAACTCCAGATAATCAGAGACCCACCACTGACAACAAAAACTCTTAACAGACTACTGCAAAGTTCACGGTTTCACATGGCCCAGGTCTATTAGGCTGGAATTTTTTAAAAGCCTGGACAGTTGTTTGCTAAGTCATTTTTATTTCTGGAGTAAAGACATAGTTGTCTTTTAATAGAGTCTGCTTGCAAAGGAGCATATTATAAAAGAATCATTTAAAAGGCTGCACTTTGGCAGGTGGGGTTGTGCATGTGGCCCAGTGGTAGAGCGCTTGCCTAGCATGTGTAAGGCACTGGGTTTGATTCTCAGCATCACATATAAATAAATGAATAAAATAAAGGTCTATTAATGTCTTTTAAAAAAGAAAAAGCTGTGCTTTTCTTGAGGTCCACAGCTGTGGTGTTTCCTCAGAAGTTTTATACATTTTTTTTTTTTTAATATCTATTTATTTTTTAGTTTTTGGCCGACACAATATCTTTGTATGTGAGCTGAGGATCGAACCCGGGCCGCACGCACGCCAGGCGAGAGCGCTACCGCTTGAGCCACATCCCCAGCCCCCAGAAGTTTTATACATCTTAGCAGATTGTATTTTTTTGGTATTCTCTAAACACATCTCCATGTCTTTGGTGGTGGTGGTACAAGACACTGAACCCAGGGGCACTTGAGGTAGGTTAAGTCTTCCAGCTTTATTGCTTGCTTTTTTAGTTCTGTAAAAATCTTCCCTCATTTATTCCCTTCCTCCTTATGCTATGTTGGGGATTGAACCGATTGCCTTGTACATGCTAGGCAAGACCTTTACCACTGAGTTACATCCCTAACTCTTTTCAAAATTTCTATTTTGAGACAGGTTCTTGCTAAGTTGCTCCGGTTGACATTAAACTTGTGATCTTTCTGCCTCAGCCTCCCAAACAGCTGGGATTACAAGCATGTACTACCATACCCAGCCTGTCCTTATGCCATTTTTAATTTTCTGGCCCTTAGCATTTATAACATTTATGAAATATGTTATAGAAGCTATTTTGTAGACTGATACCACAGCTGGAAAGAAGGTAGAGCTTTAACATGATTGTAAGGTAAGGTGAAAGGGGTGAATCTAGAAGGGAAAGACCAAAAGAAGGGAGGTTGCGGTGACTTAAGAAAACAAGAATACCTTTTTCTTGGAAAGGACACAGGAGTAGAGGGACTAAGGGTGTAGCTCAGTGGTAGAACACTTGTTTGATTCCCTAGGCCCCTTTCAAAAAGAAAAAAGACAAAAAAGAGCTGAGAACAGGCATGGATATTTGTACACATCCTTGGAAAAAAGTGTTGGCCATTTTCCAGTATTTTTACCTACATTTGTTTCTCTCAAAGGTCAAGGTCAAGAAGGCATTCTCATAGACGTTATACTCGATCCAGATCCCACTCTCACTCTCATAGGAGAAGATCTCGAAGTAGATCGTATACACCAGAATACCGACGGCGAAGGAGCCGAAGTCACTCTCCAATGTCTAACCGGAGAAGACATACAGGCAGCAGGGTATGTGGGTATAAAAGTTAATGAAAACTTATTTTTCTCTTTCTTGAGTGTAGTCATGGCATAATGTCTTCTCTTTTATGAGAGATAGGCATTGTTTTAGAAATTGGTACTCCAGAAACATTCTTAACAAATTTAACTTTGGAAATAAAAGGAATACCTTTTATGTTATGGATATGCTAATAAAAGAAATGCCACCATCATAACAAGCCTACATTTCATGATAGCTTCTATAATGGGGGTATAGTATCTTGATTTTTTTAAAATTTTGTTTTAATTAGTTACACATGACAGTACAATGATCTTGACATACATTTGAGTCAGATGGGGTATAATTTCTCATTGTTCTGAGTGTACAGGTTGCAGAATCACATTGGTCATACAGTCACGTATATACATACAGCAATAATGTCTATTTTATTCTGGTTTTTTTTTTTTTTTTAGTTATTTTTTAAAAAGATAAAATTTGGGGATAAATGAGCTCTAAGAATTAAAAATGAAAAGCATAAACGGTGAGATAATTAATGCAGAGTTTTACCATAATAGGGAGAAACCAAGAAAATATCAAAAGTTATGCAGTAGTAACAACCAACACTTTAATTTTCTTGTTAGGAAATGAGTAAATCTTGGATGTGTGATATTGAGGTGTTTTTGGTTTTGTTTACTAGTTGACCAAACTCAGGTTTCAGTCAGTCTACACAGAATGTCAGTATTTAATGATTAGAAATTTGTATTTTTAATTTTAAAATGTGGCTCATGGAAACATTGAAAGTAGTATATCCTTGCTACATAAAGAAAATGGGGACTGGGGCTGTAGCTCAGTGGCAGAGCGCTTGTCCAGCATGCATCAGCCACTATGTTCTATTTTCCGTACCACATAAAAATAAACAAAATAAAGGCATTCTGTCCATCTACAATTCCAAAAAAAAGAAAAGAAAGAAATGGAGACTTCTAAATTAGTAATTCCAAATCAGATTAGATACTAATCCATCAGGGATATACAGGACAAATTCTTGGGATATGTTCTGAAAATTACTGGGCTAAAAGTAGAATTGTTTTTATTCAGGCTATGACTAGAAAGTATATTCCATAGAAAATCTAAATGCTCTGAACTGTAAAATGTGGTTCATCTGCTTTAGTTCCATAAAATTTTATTTCCAAATAACTAGAAACAATATATTCTATGTGAGGTAGGTGGGGTGTTTGAAACAAAATATTTTTATTTTAATTAGAGCTTAATAACGTCTTTATCCAATAGGCGAATCCAGATCCCAACACTTGTCTTGGAGTTTTTGGCCTCAGTTTATACACAACAGAGCGAGATCTTCGTGAAGTATTTTCTAGATATGGACCATTGAGTGGTGTCAATGTGGTTTACGACCAACGGACTGGACGATCACGGGGATTTGCTTTTGTGTATTTTGAGAGAATAGATGACTCAAAGGAGGTAAACTTGATTTTAAATTTTCATTTTGAGAAAATTTTATATTCATGAGCATAGTATTGATTTACTATTAAAAGTTAACTAATTCCCATTTCTGTAAACATTGTTTCTTCTCATACTCTAATTCAAACTCACCCTTTTGGTGTTACAATTAGAATAGCCAAAGTTTGACTTTTCCGCTTTTGTTCTGGTGTAGATGTATATATATATATACACATATATTTCCTGATTGAAATCTGTTTTTGTAAACTGGGATGTATATTTTAAGTTAATGGAAAATGTAAAGTGTGTTTTTTTGTTTTTAATAAACCACATTGATGACTCTGAACAGATGATTAAAAACTTATGTCTGAGCCAGGCGTGATGGTGCACACCTGTAATCCCAGTGTCTCAGAGGCTGAGGTAGGAGGTTCACAAGTTCCAGGCCAGCCTCAGCAACTTAGTGAGGTGAGACCACAAGAAATGATCCTTGTAATAAAAGCAGTAATAAGAACAGGTATATCTTTCAAAAATAATAGATGATATTGTCATCTAGTGCCTGTAATCCTGGCTACTTAGGAAGCTGAAGTATAGGATCAGTTGAGACCAGGAGTTTAAGATCAGCCTAAGTAACATAGCAAGACCCTGTCTCAAAAAAAAAAAAAAAAATCTATAATGCCAGAAATTGCGCCCTATAACACAGGATCAGGAGGCCTAAAATGTTAAGAGTGCCAGGGTAGAGAAACCTTTGATAATTTTAACTAAGGTAATACTTTAGTTTTCGAATATCTTAATTTGTCATTGTTTGGACTTTTTTGTTGTTATGTATTTGTGATTTGTTTTCCTATTCCCAAACAATAGAGGTGTAAATTTAGAAATATTAAGATATGGGGCCTAAAATACAAAGTGCAAAACAAAAAACAAATTTTTTTCCTGTGATAATTTTTTGTCTTAGCTTTTTTTTTTTCTCCCCTTGGTTTATTTCTGGGTAAAGTTAGAATGGCGATGTTACTTAGGTTCCAAAAACTTACTTCAAATATTTTCATTTGCTAAAGTGTTTAAAATATCATTGTAATTATTATCTTGGTGCTTAGGGCAAAGTAATGGGAATGTGAGCTCAGATACCAATGACTTTAGGAGCACTTTTTGGCAGGTTGAGTTTCTTTATATTTGAAGTTCACTAGGTGGCAGTGTGTTTTAAGTCATGGCTTGGCTAATTAAAGATTGCTAGCTAAACTGCATTTTCTATTTTGAGTTGACCAGACTGAAACCAGTTACTTCCAACCTCAGTTATACAGACTTCCCCTAGGTTGTGTGGTTTCTACTGTATGGCTGTGGCTGTCTCTACTTCTTCTGCACAGGCCTTCTGAAATGGCTTAGCTGAAATATGTATGAACTACAAAAACCAATGCTGTTAATAAACTCTTCACCCTTATTTGAAAGAACAGCTTGGAAATTTCAGGTTTTGGAATTTAAAATAGAAAATGTTACATTTATGACAGTTTTGTTGTTTCAGAAACTTATCTATTAAGATATAAATAATTGTTTTCTTAAGGTGAAGGGTTTTTTAGCCAAAAGGACCCTTTCAAAGTTGTTCTTTTGAAAGATGAAACCAAAAGAGATATTATTTTATTTGTTTATTTAGTGCCAGGGATTGAACTCAGGGGCACTCGGCCACTGAGCGGCATCCCCAGCCCTATTTTGTATTTTATTTAGTTGCTTAGCACCTCACTTTTTGCCGAGGCTGGCTTTGAACTTGCAATCTTCTGCCTCGGTCTCTCAAGCCACTGGGATTGCAGTCATACGCACCACTGTGCCTGGCTGAGATCTTGATTATCTTAAGAGGATAGCCTCTCTTCAGAGTGTAGATTTTTTTTATAAGTAGGAAGAATAGCTCTTTGAATCTTAAAGTAAAATATTTGTGAATTACATTAAAATCGTGTATCTTTATTGGTTTCTTCTCAGCAAGAGACTGGAAAAGGTAGTACCATAAATGTGTGTGCTTCTATACCTGTAAATCTTCTTTATCAGCATATTGGACTGCAAACTGAAGAACAAGAAATAAGGAAGTCAGGTGTGGTGGCACACACCCTATAATCCCAGCGACTTTCCAGGCTGAGGCAGGAGGATCAGAAGTTCATACCAACCTCAGCAACTTAGTGAGACCATCAAAATGAAAAACAAAATGGACTAGGGAGGTAGCTCAGTGGTTAAGCACCCCTGAATTCATTCCCCAGTTCAAAAAAGGGGGGGAAGTAAAATCAGGTTACAGAGAAAATGTAGTTAAAACTTGGCCAACATTCTTAGTATTTTGAAGTCAGTCTTTATAAATAAATGTCTGAGGACTGAGGAAGTATGAAATGCAGCCTACCTGGGCAAGCTACAGAAAGTTTCGATTGAGGGGCTGGGGATGTGGCTCAAGCGGTAGCAGGCTTGCCTGGCATGCGTGCGGCCCGGGTTCGATCCTCAGCACCACATACCAACAAAGATGTTGTGTCTGCCGAGAACTAGAAAATAAATATTTTAAAGAAGAAAAAAAAAAAGTTTAGATTGAAAAGATGAACATGGAGTGGGAACTCAGACACAGACATTTGAGGGGAAGGTGTATTAACTTCTCTTTTGAGTAAATTTAAATATTTTCTGGACAGTTTTGAGGTCTAGAAATGTCAGAATCCCCTGCACTACTGTGTTGTTTTCAAATTAGATGAGTTTATTTGGATTTCAGATAATTTTGCACTTAATATTTAAGTAATTATTACTTAAAGGCCAGTGAATTATACATGACTTTCTGTGCTTGTTCTCCTTTACAGGCTATGGAAAGGGCAAATGGAATGGAGTTGGATGGTAGAAGAATTCGTGTGGATTATTCTATCACTAAGAGAGCGCACACACCTACACCTGGCATCTACATGGGCAGACCAACTCAGTAAGATCTCACATTGCCTAGAGCTGAGACTGGGGCTTAGTGGTAGAGCATTTGCCTAGCATGAGACCCTGGGTTCAATCCCTAGTGCAGCAAGGGAAAAAAATTGTTTTTCATAAACTAAACTGTAAGAGCCAGAAATCTATGAGAAATGTAATGAGGAAATATTTTTTCCTGTCATTTAGTTTACATACATTCTCAGAATTCTTTTAATATATTTTTAATATTTATAGTTTATTAAAATATTAATAAATATACAAATAAGCAAAATATGATGTTTATAAGCTATTGCAAATATAATTCTGGCTTTTCTCCTGGTCTTGTTCAAGAAGAACTTTGTGTGTGTGTGTGTGTGTGTGTGTGTGTGTGTGTGTGTGGTGGATTGACATAATATCTTTATTTTTATTTATTTTTTATGTGGTGCTGAGGTTCCAGCCCTTTACCATTGAGCTACAACCCCAGCCCGAATAAGAAATTTTTTAAGTATTAGAAAAATATTACATGCTATTCATTTGTCTCTCTGTTCCTATGTGACCTGGGAAACCTCTCTATATAAGGATTATTTATAATTTGTTTTGTAGATACGTGATGTTTATGTTACGGTGCATTGCATAGATTGAATTCAGTAGTAAATGGGCCAAGTGCAGTGTGCACACCTGTACGCCCATTGGCAGGAGGATTGCAAGTTCAAAGCCAGCCTCAGCAAAAGCAAAGCACTAAGCAACTCAGTGAGACCCTGTTGCTAAATAAAATACAAAATAGGGCTGGGGATGTGGCTTAGTGGTCAAATGCCTCTGAGTTCAATCCCCAGTACCAAAAGGGGGGGGAAAAGAAAGAAAAGAAATATAAGCATATGACCTCAAGGGTAGTTCTTCTTAACTGTCCTCCTTTCATTTTTTTTTTTTTCAAGCTGCTGATTTTTATTAAATGGTCCCAGAAAAAGGATCATTGACACTAAAGTGTAATGTTTTATATTTTTCTTTAGTAGTGGTGGTGGTGGTGGCGGCGGAGGTGGAGGTGGAGGTGGAGGTGGTGGCAGGCGTCGAGATTCTTACTATGATAGAGGATATGATCGTGGATATGACAGATATGAAGACTATGATTACCGGTACAGGTAATGTTTTAACTTTGAAATTTTTGTTCTAAATTAGATGGCATCTCTATTATTTGGCACTTATGTGTTTGATCTGTATGAATAAAAAGTGAATGTTTGAACTTGACTTAGCATTGGCCCCAGCTGCTTGGGAGGCTGAGATGGGAAGATCACTTGAAATCAGGGAATCAAGGCGAGACTGGGCAGCATAGTAAGACCTTGTTTTTAAAAAGAAAAGCCAAGCTAGATGCAGTGGCATACACCCGAAATCTCAGCAATTTGATGAGATTCTGTCTCAAAGTAAAAAAGAACTAGGGAGTGTAATTCAGTAGTAAAGCACCCCTGGCTTTTCTCCTGGTCCTGTTCAAGAAGAATTGTTTTTTAAACCCCTGGGGTTTTTTATTAAAAAAAAAAAAAAAAAAAAAAAAAAGCCATGCATAGTTGGCACACTCCTACTCCCAAGAGTCTGAAGCAGGAAGAGGATCACAAGTTTAAGGCCAGCCTCTGCAACTTAGCAAGTCACTTATCTCAAAAAGGACTGGGGATGTAGTTTTGTGGTAGAGAACCCATATATTCAGTCCCCAACGCCACAAAAAAATATAAACAAAAAACTCAGTGGCCCGGGAGGCTGAGACAGGAGGATTGTGAATTCAAAGCCAGCCTCAGCAAAAAGTGAGGTACTAAACACAGACCCTGTCTGTAAATACAATACAAAAAAAATAGGGCTGGGGTTGTGGCTCAGTGGCCAAGTGCCCCTGAGTTCAATTCCTGGTACTACCCCGACCCCACCCACCCCCCCAAAAAAAGTGTAAATCATATTATTTTGAGACAGGGCCTGGTTAAATGACTAGGACTCACTATTTTGAGTGGTGGGGGATTTCTTTTTTTAATTATCATCCGCCATGGTAGATTGTGTGTGTGTGTGTGTGTGTGTGTGTGTGTGTGTGTGTGTGGTATACTAAGTGATCTTTTATTTCTTACAGAAGAAGGTCGCCTTCTCCTTATTATAGTCGATACAGATCACGATCAAGATCTCGCTCCTACAGCCCAAGTATGTGAACTTTGCTTTTGTAGCATTAAAACCTCATTTCTCATTAATGGCTTATTATAGAATATTAGGATTTATGTGGTAGCTGTTAATAGTTGGGAAAACATTAGGTAAGTTGAACTATAATTGTTAACATTTTTGTTCTTTCTCTTTCAGGACGCTATTGATAATGGAATGGTTGCAGTTGAGGACTTTTTTTCCCCCCTTTCTCCTTCCCCTCTCTCTTTTTTATTCTGGAGTTTCCCAAGCTTCTGATTTTTCCTACTCCTTAAAAAAAAAAGAAAAGAAAAGAAAATCCTTGATTTATTTAGCTTCTACACTTTTTCAGTTGCATTGCTGTTTTCCACCCCTTTTAATATACTCTTAAAGGATGTAATTGTTGTCATTTTGAGTAGTTAAACACCTTGAGTTAAAAAAAAGGAGAACCCAGTGTTAAGTTTTTGTATCATTTTTCTTTGCCTTTACAGAGGATTAACTCCTAGCTAATTATATGAGGAAAGAAATGATCTTTTTAAAGCTTTCATGTCAGATATTGTATTAGACACTGTATTAGAGATCTGCATTTATGAGGACTCCTTTTTTAACTTTTTTTGGGGGGAAGATAGTAACATATGAAGTAGTTCAGTCATGTCACATTTGTCTGAGGTGGCATAGAACAAATAGTTGAGTGTAAAAAGTTTGAAGCTATAGAAGAAAACACTTGGACATTTCTTTTGAAGAAGGTAATTTTTGAACCCTAAAAATTAAGTCACTTTTTTAGAGATTAAAAGCTTGTGGATTCCTACAAAACATGTTGTATTTGAAATACATCTGTTAAACTTTACAAACTTAAAGTGTGATTTTTTTGTGTGTGTGTTGAACTCATTGAGTTAGGTATATCCTTAATAAGTGAAAGACAACCCTTTATTTATTATTTAGAGCAATTGTATAGTTTGCTGTTAGAAATTTTGTTATTAGGACATTGGTTAAGCAGGCTATTATATAGGATAGAGTCCTTAGAAGATACATGTGGGAGAAAAGTAGTTTTCTTTCAAATAAAAGTTACTTCTTGGAAAACGGGATTGTCTCTTTATTTTGATACAGTGGAAAAATAAAACTGGATTGATTTGGAACCAGTTCTTCCTTTTCTCTGCATTCCCCTAATATGTATCCATACATAAAGTTTTGCCCATTCTGAGTTAATTTCCTGAACACTCAAATGTGCAACACTTGTCTACTCTCTGATATTTTAAAACTCTTTGTTCATTTTTTCTTTTAGTGAACCAGGTAGCAAATACTGAGTATTCAGTGTCAGTATCTTGCTGTAGGAAAGATAAGTAGGTAGTTCATGTCTGTTAAGGTTTTTGTTTGTTTTGCCAGTAAAGGATATCCTAATAGGTTTTAGTTAAATGAGGTTGTTAAAGACTGGGAGAGTCATTGCCTTAAAGAGAACATGAGTTTGGTAGAATGCCTATTACCAAAAAGAAGACCCACCCGTGGTGGTGCACTCCTGTAATCCCAGCAACTCAGGAGGCTGAGGCAGAAGGATCGCAAGTTCAAAGCCAACCATAGCAACTTAGCCAGACCCTGTCTCAATAAAAAAGGTTGGGGATGTGGCTCAGTGGTAAGGAGCCCTTGGATTCTGTCCCCAGTACCCAAAAATAAGAAACCGTTGACTACAGAAATACTTGAAAGACTTATGTAGAATATTAGCAACAGTGAAAACAGCCACGTGAAGAGACAATGAAGACTGGTATATGTTAAAATTACATGTTATGGAAAATAAAGGAATGGGATAAAAAAAATTTTTTTTTTTGAGAGAGGAGAGTGTGAGAGAGAGAATTTTTAATATTTATTTTTAGTTCTCGGCGGACACAACATCTTTGTTGGTATGTGGTGCTGAGGATCGAACCCGGGCCTCACGCATACCAGGCGAGCGCGCTACCGCTTGAGCCACATCCCCAGCCCCCATACAAGTATTTTTCACAGGGGGAGTTCTGTCATTGACCTAGATCATCAGCTTCTCTTGTTTTTCTTCCACATTTACCTTTTAAATTTTGAGATGGTCTCCCCAGACTGGCCTAGAATTTAGAATCCTCCCCTCTACTGAGTTAGGGATGCAAGTTTAAGTGTAGATTTAGGCTGGCATGGTAGGGTGCATCTGTTATCTGGAAGCTTAAAAGGCTGAGGCAGGAGGATAAGTGTGAGGATCAAGAGTCCAAAGCCAGCCTTAGCAACTTAGCAAGGCCCTAAAGCAACTCAGTGAGACCCTATCTCTAAATTTAAAAAAAGAGCTGGGGATGTAGCTCAGTGGTTAAGAGTCCCTGGGTTCACCCTGGTACTAAAAAAGTTTTAAATAGCTTCTCCAAGGGGATGGGGTTGTGGTTCAGTGATAGAGCACTTGCTGACAAGTGAGGCACTGGGTTCAATTTTCATCACTGCATATAAATAAATGAATAAAACAAAGGTCCATCAACATCTAAAAAATATTTAAAACTAAAAAGTCTTCTCCAAGAAAATAAAATTTCAACCAAGATCTAAAGGTGAGGGTTGGGGTTGTGGTTCTATGGTAAAGTGCTTGCCTAGCATGTAAGATGCACTGGATTTGATTCTCAGAACCACAAATAAAGGTCCATCAAAAACAAAATATTTTTTTAAAAGATCTAAAAGTGAGCCAAGAGGTCTGAATATGTGGGGGAGGAGCAAAGTTAATGGTCTTAAGGTAGTAGCATACCTGGAATGTTAGAGAAAAAATGACAAAAAGAGCTGGGTGCTGCTGGGGTGGGAAAGGAATGGATGCTTTCAAGAATGTAGAGGTCTGGGATTGTGGCTCAGTGGTAGTGTGCTCATCTAGCATGAATGAGTCATTGGGTTCTATCCTCAGCACCACATAAAATGTGAAAGATTGTGTCCACCTAAAACTAAAAAAGAATGTAGAGCCAAGTTTAGTTTCTACCAGGGATTGAACCCAAGCGCACTTAACCACTCTGTCCCTAGCATGTTTGAGACAGGATCTCAATAAATTCCTTGGGGCCTGGCTGAATTGCCGAGGATGGCTGAACTTTTGATCCTCCTGCCTCAGCCTCCCGAGCTGCTGAGATTGCAAATGTATACCACTACACTCACCAAGACAGATTTTTTTTAGAAAGCAGAAACAGACTGGGCAAGGTGGCACGTGCCTGTAATCCCAGCCACTGGGGAGGCTGAGGCAAGAGAATCAAATTATATGTCAGCCTAGCAGCTGAGGCAGGAGCATTGCAAATTCAAGACCAACCTCAGCAATTAAGTAAGACCCTAAGCAACTTAACAAGACCCTGTCTCAAACAGAGGGCTGGGTATGTTGCTCAGTGGTTAAGCACATCTGGATTCAAGGCCCAGTACAAAAAAGAAAAAAAAAAGAAACATTGACAAAAATGAAAAAGGATTGGGAGTATAGTTCAGTGTAAAGTGCCCCTGGGTTCAATCTCTGGTACCAAAAGGGGGAAAAAAAATGCTGTCAGTAGTTGTGTGTACACGCGCACACCAACACACACACACACACACACACACACACGTATAGATGAGATGCTAAGTTTAAAGACTAGATGTATTAGGTTTATGACTACTCAATACCGAAACAGGGTATTTCTGGACCTCCACTATTTGTTACCTGTAGTATTGAAATTTATTTTTGGGGGGCGTGGGGGGGAGTACTAGAAATTGAACTCAAGGGTGCTTAATCACTGAGCCACATCCCCAGCCCTTTTTAAGATTTTATTTAGAGACAGGGTCTCACTGAGTTGTAAGTACCTCCCTAAGTTGCTGAGGCTTGGCTTTGAATGATCCTCCTACCTCAGCCTCCCTAGTCGCTGGAATTACAGGTATGTGCCACCACAACCAGCTACTATTGAAATTTATTAATAACTCACTGGAAGATGAGAAACACTTGTTTCATTTAGTTCATTTAACTGCTTTGAACAGTGGTTCCTACCTAGTTGGTTTTTTTTTTCTTGTGTGTGTGTGTGTGTGTGTGTGTGTGTGCGCGCGCGCGCGCGTGCCAGGGATTGAATTCCGGTGCATTTAACTACTAAGCCACACCCCCAGCTCTATTTTGTATTTTATTTAGAGACAAGGTCTCACTGAGTTGCTAAGCGCCTAGCCATTGCTGAGGTTGGCTTTGAACTTGTGATCTTCCTATCTCAGCCTTCTGAGCCACTGGAATTACAGGCATGAGCCACTGGAATTACAGGCATGCGCCACTGCACCTGGGCCCTACCTAATTTTTATTTGGATCATGGAGTCCTTAAATCTGGGAAAGCTGCAATCTGTTTTCCAGGAGAAAGTGCACCTGTTAAACAATTTTTTGTATATAAGTCATTTGGATTTTAAATTTTTTTGTACTAAAAATATACACCAATATTGGTTACCCTGTGGAGTACTAGTCTAGAAAGAGGTTTGGAAAAAACCAATAAAATAACAATTCAAGGTTATACCCTTCTGGGGTTAAAAAAAAAAAAAAACAAAACTGCTACCAGCTGGTGTGGTAGTAGATATCTGTAATCCCAGCGTTAGGGAGGCTGAAGCAGGAGGATCTGGAGTTCAAGCCAGCTCAGGAATTTAGCGGGGTGCTAAGCAATTCAGTGAGATCCTGTCTCTAAATAAAAATACAAAATAGTGCTGAGGATATGTCTTAGTAGTTGAATACCCCCTGAGCTCAATCCCTGATGCCAAAAACAAAATGACAAGACAAAAAAACTCCTACCAAGTAAATAATAGACGTACCCCATGGACTCAAGAAAAATTTTTTATTTTGTCCAGGGGATTGAACTGGTGGGGGTGGGAGTACTTTACCACTGAGCTACATCCCTTGTCCTTTTTGAGACAGGGTCTTGCTAAATTGCTGAAGCTGACCACAGATTTTAAATCCTGCCTCCATGTCACTGGGATTACAGATGTACTCTGTAATTACAGTGCCACCAAGCCTGTCAACAACTTGAGAACTTTTATGCCCAAATACATATTCTTTTGCTGTGATGGCAATTAAAAGTACAGTATTTGTAATATGAAATAAAGTTTTTTTTAAATATTTTGTACCTAAAAGGTGTAGATGGACACTACACAATACCTTTATTTTTATATGGTGCTGAGGATTGAACCCAGGCCCCACCCATGCTAGGTGAGCATTTTACCACTGAGCCACAATCCCAGCCCCTGAAATAAGGTTTTATTTGAAATATGCTGACCTCTGATATCAAACATTGGGTTAATTTGAGGGCATGAATTTTTTTTCTTACCCAACTGATTTGAAATTAAATGGTCAAAATTAGTACCTTTTTCTAAACTTTGAATTCAGATATTGATATTAAAAGGTCACATGAAAGATGACTCCATCAATGGGAATAATGAATACAGAAAAAAAGGGTCTAAGTAGCTTCCAGAAATTTAACACAACAAAAATGGAATAAAAGCCTGCCAGTTTATACTCCAACCATATATTAAACAGATGGAGGCTTTTTTTTTTAACAAAAGAGTAAATTAACTAAAAATAA